ACCTTTGAGGGAGGTCTTGTGAAGGTTGCGCGATGATTTGGAGCAGAAACGGGATTTGTGAGCTTTGTTGATTTGAACTCGAGACCCTGCCATGGCAGAGGATCTTCCGGAAACGTAACAGCCGCCGGCGAACAATGGGTTTTAATTCAGTTATTTTGGTTGGCGGTATTTAGGTTTGCGCTCGTGCCTATTTTATGTATTAAACAACCACCTAAGGTCATAAAAGCACCTATTAAGAAATTCTGCTCATGACATATATATGTTAGTATTATCATTGTTGGTTTACTAAAATTGGCTGCATATTGTGTTTTTATGGGGAAAAAAAAACTTATTCTCCATTTTGGAATTTTGTCAATGCGTTCCTCCTCTTGTGAGTTACTGGTCAATGTTTATTTTTCATAATGAGGACTGCAATACCTACATAGTTGGCAACACTATATTGCATAAGTTATTTTACTCATGCTAAATGGATCCCATCTTGTTAGGAACCGTCGGATTATGCACCTGGCACACAAAAGAATGTATCTGGTGGTGAAGTTATTAGGTGGAATAATGTCTCTGGTCCTGAGAGAATAGATGCTGAAATTTACATTGAGTTTCTAGAAGCAAAGATTGAGGAACTAAATCGTCAAGTTGGTAGAAAAACTGCAAATGGACAAAATGAGCTATTGGAATATCTCAAGTCTCTCGAGCCACAAAATCTGAAGGTAAATGAAGCTATTTACTTATTAATTTTGTGTTATATCTCGATCACCTTTGTTGTCTGTAGTTGGCACTTGACAGCAGACTCAAGTTTTTCTGCTTCCCTGAATGTCCTTCATTAACTGTGGTGGGAGCTTCTGGTAAGGTTATGAAATTTTGAAATTGTATTATTTGTTGTTCTACAAGTTGACTAGTTGTGCTGCTGAAGATGTTGTGCTTGCAATGAACACATTCATCAAGCGTGTTGGCTGTTTCTAATCCTAGCCAAATGAAGGTTTGTCATTTGTCATCATCATCATATTTACTGTCTTTTCTTCTTTTCTTCATTTTTTCGTTCCATATATTCTTGACATTAAGGTTTAAATTTTCATTATTTTCCCATATTATCAACAATTATCTAAAGTTTTTTCAAAATAAGATCATTTTGTTGAATTTGTAGCTAAAACCATACTCCATGCACGCACACATATTGGAAATTGAGGAGAATACTGTTTTTCAGTAAAAGCGCCGGTCTGGACTGAAATGACTAAGAGACCAACAACATTATTCTTTTCTAGTCATTTATTCTAGTCTGGACTAAAAACAATATTTTCTTGGAAATAACTTGGTTCTATGCATGAAGAAATTAATCATCTTCTGAGATATAATAATCATGCCATTTTATTTGACATTTGATTTCTTTGTTCTTAATTTCATTTTTGATATGTGTTGCAGACAAGTGTAACAGAGACTAGTGCCTCAGAACTTGCCAAGCTTCTTTACTGGCTGATGGTGGTTGGATACAGCATTCGTGGTATTGAAGTCCGATTTGACATGGGAAGAGCACTTGGAACTCCTCCAAAGCTTGCAGAGTTGCCTCCAGGGGAAAATATTTAGACATTTTGCGTAAAAATGGAGGATATAGCCAAGTTGGAGCATATGGATCTGAATGCCTCCTAATGCATTAAGTTTGTGGCTCGTGGGAGGAAAGGGCTAATATTTGATAATGTACAGACAGGATATTAACAATTTTGAAACCTTTTATTGGTAATTTTGACATGAATCAATCATGCACACATGGATGAATCACACAACATCTTTAGCAAATGTTTTAGTGGTTAAGAACTTGAATATTTGATCATTAATTTTTTTGGTGAAATTTGAATGTCTATGTTGGATGTTTTTTTTTCAAATTCTAAAATAGGTGGAGAAGGGGTTTAACAGGTGTGGATTATATCGTATTAGTATTGATTCTTCATATCAAATTTTAAAGTAAAATTTTGGTTAAATCCCCTATCCCTCTACTTTTATCAAATGTTTAATTAAAACTATTTAGATAGTATTAGTTTTAAAACTATTGTTTACTTTTATAAAAGTAAAACTAATTAGACATTTGTTTTTGTTTATTTTAAGACTAATCTTTTTTCAAGTAATTTTAAGGGTACATCACTCATTTGGCTTAGGGTTTGGCTTGGTGTATTAAAAAAAAATTAATATTCTTAAGTGCTAACCCGAAAACTTAAACTCTAAATATGACCTATAAGGTGATACTTGTATATTAGTGAATCTAACTATTTGACTTATTATATAATATACTCTTAATTTATGCCATAAAGTTATAAATTTTTTTCATTAAAATGAATTTATAAATTTTAAAAAAAGTTATTTGCAAAAGCATCCACTTGTGCACAACATTCAAATGAGAAACAAATGAACATGGCTAGTAAAGGAAAGTGACGGTCAAATGCCACTACCAATCAAAGTGAACGGAAGTCCCCACTCCCCACGCCAAATGACCCGGAAGCACGGCAAATGCATGGCCTATTTTCAAAGAAAAAAAAGAAAAGAAGCACCGCAAATAACGACTTTGAAGATCCACGCCAAATTTCAATACCAATAGTAGTACTGATGCAAGTTCATGGAAGGTCCACCGCACAAGTCCCACCAAGGAAGAACCAATTCACGTTCCAATACTAATCAATGTCCCCCTAAATTGACTAATATATATTATCAACGAATTATGTTTGAATTCTACACCAGATCGCACAAGAGAAACAAACTTTTATTTTACATCATATAGAATTTATTCGTCATAATAACCACCTGTGCTACCAGTTCTTTCTCACCTTTCTCCCAAATGGAAGATATGAGAGATTCAATTGCAGTGCCACGGATTGTGAGGATGGTTATCAAGTTTCATCCATTATTGACGGTAACTAGTCTTATCTATCGGGTAATACTTTTGCAGGATTGGATTGAAGAGGAGGTGAGCAATCGATGGAAAGCCCTCAAGGTTTATTTCCAATCGACAATGAGATCTTTGCTGGATCCTATTATTGAGAAGGTGAAGAATCTATCAGAAGCTCTTGAGATGCATCTCCACAACGAAGCAGCAAATGGTCAACTAAAGGCCAAACTGGTCGGTAAACTTGCCTTGTTCTCCGCCATATTTCTTCTACAGAATATAGAGTTAAGTTCAAAATATGATAGAAGAGGAGTCAAAATGCAATTATTGATGCTTATTAGCCTTGGCCTGTTAACACATTCAAAGCATTGGAGTCAATTTAAAATTCTTCATAGAAGGAGCAACTGGATGGTAAATTCAACATCAAACTTCATCTTCTTTATTATAGCACTTCCTTTTGCAAAATTTTATGATAATTCCTTGAGGGGCCTCAGTGCTATGTTGTGCATCTCAATTTTTCTTCTATGTGTACTAGTGGTATTACGACCGCAAACAGACCTTGGGTTGTTTAGTTTTATCATTGGACTCATTGGATCTATTACTTACAACCGTTATGAGTTGAAGTTTCCCACATGGATAATTGCTTCCATCTGTTTTGTGTTGTTCAGTTTCAAGAGCTGGTTAGATAAGTACTGGTTGGATTTGGAAGAAAATCTTTGTACAAATACCACAACTGAAAGTGCTAGTGTGTTTTTTATTTTTTCATCAATAGTTACATGTTTTGCAAAAGTTATCTTCATTTCTTCTGCTCTCAAATATCCCCTATCCAACTATAAAAATTGGTTAGTTAGGGCAATCAGTATTGTGCTTCTAAGTCTCAGGAAAATCTATCAGAATTCCAAAGACAGCTCAATGCCCTCTACAAATGCCAAAGGAATCAATGGTTTGATTTTGATGGTTGTAAGTATTGCACATGGCATGTTCAACTTTGCTCTTATCACATCTCACATGGCCAATTATAAAGATTGGTTATTTGCAGTAATTAGTTATGTCATTTTCTGTTTCTGGTTACGAAGCTTTTTTCCCAAAGATATGTTTCCGCCCCTTACAAAAAACAAAGGAATCAAAGACAAGATTTGGGCTATTCAATTTTTCGCCAAGTATGGTATTGTGGTGTTGGCTGGTTTTGAACCCCGAGTGTACTATAGAGAATGGTTGGTTATGGTGACCTATTATGTGCTTTGGTGGGTTCAATTTCGTACATCATTTCCCAAAGATCTGTCACTACTGTTCAACACAATTGAAGTTAAGTGGTGGATAGGGATGGCATCAATGACCATTGTTCCAGATGTCATATCTTGGATCGAATTATCTAGAACAACATATCATCAACAACTGTAGAGATGAAAATGTTAGATGCTAGCTTAAATCATAGTAAGTACTTAGATACATGAAAATTTTTATTGCCTTGTGTCATTCTCTTTTTAGATATATGTTTGTAGCCAGTGCCCTTAATAAAATCAACCAGTCATTTGTAATTTTTTAGTCGTCTGCAATCATTTGGTGTTCATCAAGCTGCCCTCTTTTGGTACCACTTTACATTTACTCAGCAAAGAGTTATAATAATTATAATGGCATAATTTAATATAATTTAAATTATAAAGTATTTTTAATAAATAAATAAAATTTTTAATATGTATTTATAAGATACAAGTTAAAAATGTAATTAATATAATTTTTAATTATTAATTTATATAAAAATAAAACAATTAATATTAATTTTAGTATCAATGTTATGTGTCTCAATTTAATTAATTAATTGTTAAAATTAAAGTCAAATTTTATATTTTTTATGTAACTTAAAAAGAAAAAAAATACATTAATTATTTTTTTAACATGTGTCCACAGTTTCTAAAAATTAATTTAATAAAAATTAATAATCATGCGAGACACTTATTTCTTAAACTCAACCGATGCACTTTTGGACCAGAGGCTAAAACTTACGTCTTAAGCTGCTTGGCCAAACTGTCATTTCCAATAATTGAAAATTTTTATTTTTAGTTAATTAACTTTAATAAATATTTATAGAATTGGAATCCATTTATACATTAAATTATATAAACTATTTTTATATAAAATTTTAATGATTTATTTCTTTACTTTTAATAGTTAAGATTTATTTATATTTATTAAAAATAAATATTTTTATAATTAAAATTATAATAAATTTTAATTATTAAAAATAAAAAATAATTAAAGTTTTTTTTATAAAATTTATGTATAAATAAAATTTTATTCATATTTATAATGGGTTGAAAATTCATTGATAAACAGCAATGAGATTTGAAGTTTGAACCCATGAGCCGAGCCAAGCCCATTCGGACCAGAGCCTAAATCTGGCGCCTTGGACCAGTCGGCCGTACAGTCAATTGTTTGTAATTTTTTAATTTTCAGTTAATTAATATTAAATGTTAATAAAGAAGTAAATCAAAGTTTATGCCCAAAACTTTAAATTGGTTCCAGAAAATACCTCTAACTTTTATTTCCTTACAATTATACCACAAACCTCTTTATACAATTATAATTATTGACTCACGTTGAACTTACAAAAACTACCATGGTTGTTGGCCTTGGCATGGACATTCATAGATCTCAACTATTCTAATAATTTAAACCTAGAAAATATCTCGATTGAGTAAGTTAGATTTAATCTTAAAATTTTGATTT